TATATAATTCTTTTAACTTTATAATAGGCTTAAATCAAAGCCGATGAAGTTAAACATCACAATATTAATAAGATTCGAACTTACCAAAAGGCAGTGGTTGTGGTTGTTGTCCGATTATCTGCCACAAAGTAGCATCTTCAATATTTTCCGTTACGTCGACCCAAAACGTTGCCTTATCCCGCTGCCTTCTAGACACGAGGTATTTATCTTTTTGTCTATCTTGAGTTTTCCGTATTCTGCAGCCAAAAGACTTGTTTTCATTGTCGATATACTTGATCATCCAGCACTCGTTTGCTTTGCTACATGATTGGGTTTTGTGAATTAGTGCTCTACCGTCGTCTCCATGATTATCATTGAGTACTACTAACATCCGACCAGTGTTGGGATCTGATAACGATAATTGAGTTTTTGTCACTGTTGTAAGGGTGTTAAAAACGGTCCGGATAGATTAGCTAGGTTACGTACTTAGGTTGTGACTTATTAATGCAGCTGCCCAAACCAATGCCATACGACATATGAAATCATGGGGTCACTTATGGTTATTTACAGCGGAATTAAAGCTGTACCTAACATGAAGTCGGTTTTAGTAGGTCTTATATTTAAAAAGAAAAAATAACCTGGAATATTTGTTGCTGATTGTTGCTGGTTTGTTGTTGCCTTAATGTTGTAACATTTCTGAGAATTAACTACAGTTAGTATAATTTCCCACTTGTCCTGCCCCCATGGAGGAGTTGTTGGTTGAGTGTGGACCCAGTAAGATTGTTCGTTCTTTGGATCAGAGTTGTGAGTCAGGGCACAGCCAGCTGCAGGGCCATCTATTGCCTGTATCACACACCCATGTTGTTCATTTGGTGATGCTGAACTCTGTGCTAGATCAAGATGGAGAGTTAGGAATGGTAGTAACAAGAGATGTTGGACCGGGCCCCAATGTTAATGTAGGTCCTGATATGTGTTGGTTCAGCCGAATTGCGAGGGATGTTGTATAAGGTTGGACTATAAATTGATTTTAAAAGCAAATTACCTGCACTAAAACTAACTCCTGAGAAGCTAGGAGTGGGAAAGTCGGGTAAAGCATCGTAAAGGGGTGGAGCAGAGGGCGGTGCAGGTGCATCATGATCATATACCACTGTTAATATGGGGTTATAAGGCAGATAAGAATCAATATACTATGTAAAAGACATATTGATATAGTTGGGGTGGACTGAGCTTGCAAAAAGACGTGTGAATTAATTTATAAGATCTTCACTCTTTAATCCCTCCAAAATACTGCTCGACCATATTAATATCCTACACTCAAATGTTTCAATTTCCTCCGCCCCCTCTCTTATCCTACACTTACCTCCCCTGTTCCTGTCTAGATAGTTCTGTAATGTTTCCAACTCTCTCTTTAACCGTACATTCTCCACGACTGCTGCATCCTTATCTGATGAGTTGATATAGTTGGGGTGGACTGAGCTAGCAAAAAGTGTTCACTCTTCTATCTTCCCAAAATACTGAACTGCCATATGAATATACTACACTCGAATGTTTCAAGCCCCTCCCCCCCCCCCCACCCCCCTTCCCCGCCCCCCCCCCCCCCCCCCCCCCTCTACTCCTATACTTACTTCCCATGGCCCTGTTCCTGTCTAGGTCGTTCTGTAATGTTTCCAACTGTCCTTTTAGACGTGCATTCTCCACGACTGCTACAACCTTATCCGATCGGATTTCTCTCTGTACGTTTTGTAATGTTTCCAACTCTCTCTTTAACCGTACATTCTCCACGACTGCTGCATCCTTATCTGATGAGTTGATATAGTTGGGTTGGACTGAGCTAGCAAAAAGTCTTCACTCTTCTATCTTCCCAAAATTCTGAATTGCCATATTTTTCATATGAATATACTACACTCGAATGTTTCAAGCCCCCCCCCCCCCCCCCCCCTTCCCCGCTCCCCCCCCCCCTCCCCCTCTAATCCGATACTTACTTCCCCTGGCCCTGATCCTGTCTAGGTCGTTCTGTAATGTTTCCAACTGTCCTTTTAGACGTGCATTCTCCACGACTGCTACAATCTTATCCGATCGGATTTCTCTCTGTACGTTTTGTAATGTTTCCAACTTTCTCTCTAACCGTACATTCTCCGCGACTGCTACATCTTTATCCGCCACTGCTACATCCTTATCCGATCGGATTTCTCTATTTACGTTTCTCAGGTAGAACACGTATTCTGGGATTAATTATTCAGTCAACTCATTTTTAATATGTAGTATAGATTGACTTCGGGAATCGGGATTTTTAACCGAATATTAGATATTGCATATTCAGTAATCAACTGCTTAGTCTGCAATGTATTCTGGCAATACCCAAAAACAAATAAGAAGAAAACAACACCTTATTTCGATACCTGCAACAATTTGAGGGGCCAATGATCCGATACCAGCTCTGAGGTCCTCGTCCGATACTGGTATCACCTCCTCCAGCGTGGAGAAGATGGAGAGACTTGACATAATATGTGATTACACCCCAATGCTAGCTGTGGTATTTAGTTTAGTTTGATGGTAGTGAAAATTGGATTTGTTACTTTGATATGCTCAGTTAATCTTGATAAGCCTCTGTTCCTTTTAAAGTAGACATTTAAAAAGAAAAAGAACGTTATATTATTATTATTAATTATTAAGCTTATAATTAAAATTGAATACAAATTTTAGTTTTTTAGTCTAATGAAATATATGACTATATAGATTAATCAAATTTTTACTTAAAATTTAAGCAGTTGAATACAGATTTAAAATTATGGTTTTCATTCTAAATATAGCATGATAGATAAAAGTGTACTTAAATATTTAAATAACATAATTTAAATTCCAGTCCAATTCGAAGTATATATAATATTGCTATAAAAATCAAAGAGGAATCATAGAATCTTTCAATTTATAAAATCAATTCTCTCAATTCTAAATAAAATATGTCACAGACATCTAGCTATAAGATAATATATGGCTTGGCTAAGATATAAAAAACTTAGTTTAATTTAAATTAATGAGGAATGAACAATTTTGTTTATATCAAGTTTTAGTTAACACTGTTATATAAGTGTGTGTGTTTAATTTAATACTGAATGTTATTAATTTCCTTCAGTCGTTGAGGTTGATTCCTGACTCCGGGTAGTACTCACCCAACTAATTTTGGTTAAATATCAAATTCAGTCCTTCTAGCAGGCTGAACCTTGTCTACACGTGACTAAACTTCATGACTAAACCTCATGACTAAACATTGTGACTAAACCTCACAGGGGTTATCATTAATTGGAAAATCCAACGATTGCTTCCATCATTTTCATCATTCGAGCTTGGTTTGATTGCCCGAACTTGGTGATTGCCTCTCCCATCTTTTGCGTCGTCACACTTCAATGCTTGTCCCGTTTTCGCGTTGATTATCATATAGGCTCCGTCACTCATCTTTTGAATTTGCCACTCTACTCTAAACGCAAAAGAATCCATATTGTTATTACACAACAAAGTACCAAACTCCCCAAACCTTATTGTGAATACATATATATTATATCTATTCAATCGTGGTCCGCATACTCGTATTAACTCCTTGCCTCCATCCTCGTAGTCATGTCGCTCGTTTACCAAAGCCAGTTTATATTTTCCTTTACCTAAATCGTTTGTAGGACATAATGGTCCGTGATATTTTTTGTTGAATATCTTGAAAATGTAAGTATCCTCTTTCATAGAGCTATTAATTTCTATTTGGACAACAGGTCGATTAGTAGAGGATGATGGTTGCGAGTCACCTGAATTGTAAATGATTATGTTACAAAGATAGTCCGAGGTTATATACACTTAGCAAAAAGTGTTCACTCTTCTATCTTCCCAAAATACTGAACTGCCATATGAATATACTACACTCGAATGTTTCAAGCCCCTCCCCCCCCCCCCACCCCCCTTCCCCGCCCCCCCCCCCCCCCCCCCCCCCTCTACTCCTATACTTACTTCCCATGGCCCTGTTCCTGTCTAGGTCGTTCTGTAATGTTTCCAACTGTCCTTTTAGACGTGCATTCTCCACGACTGCTACAACCTTATCCGATCGGATTTCTCTCTGTACGTTTTGTAATGTTTCCAACTCTCTCTTTAACCGTACATTCTCCACGACTGCTGCATCCTTATCTGATGAGTTGATATAGTTGGGTTGGACTGAGCTAGCAAAAAGTCTTCACTCTTCTATCTTCCCAAAATTCTGAATTGCCATATTTTTCATATGAATATACTACACTCGAATGTTTCAAGCCCCCCCCCCCCCCCCCCCTTCCCCGCTCCCCCCCCCCCTCCCCCTCTAATCCGATACTTACTTCCCCTGGCCCTGATCCTGTCTAGGTCGTTCTGTAATGTTTCCAACTGTCCTTTTAGACGTGCATTCTCCACGACTGCTACAATCTTATCCGATCGGATTTCTCTCTGTACGTTTTGTAATGTTTCCAACTTTCTCTCTAACCGTACATTCTCCGCGACTGCTACATCTTTATCCGCCACTGCTACATCCTTATCCGATCGGATTTCTCTATTTACGTTTCTCAGGTAGAACACGTATTCTGGGATTAATTATTCAGTCAACTCATTTTTAATATGTAGTATAGATTGACTTCGGGAATCGGGATTTTTAACCGAATATTAGATATTGCATATTCAGTAATCAACTGCTTAGTCTGCAATGTATTCTGGCAATACCCAAAAACAAATAAGAAGAAAACAACACCTTATTTCGATACCTGCAACAATTTGAGGGGCCAATGATCCGATACCAGCTCTGAGGTCCTCGTCCGATACTGGTATCACCTCCTCCAGCGTGGAGAAGATGGAGAGACTTGACATAATATGTGATTACACCCCAATGCTAGCTGTGGTATTTAGTTTAGTTTGATGGTAGTGAAAATTGGATTTGTTACTTTGATATGCTCAGTTAATCTTGATAAGCCTCTGTTCCTTTTAAAGTAGACATTTAAAAAGAAAAAGAACGTTATATTATTATTATTAATTATTAAGCTTATAATTAAAATTGAATACAAATTTTAGTTTTTTAGTCTAATGAAATATATGACTATATAGATTAATCAAATTTTTACTTAAAATTTAAGCAGTTGAATACAGATTTAAAATTATGGTTTTCATTCTAAATATAGCATGATAGATAAAAGTGTACTTAAATATTTAAATAACATAATTTAAATTCCAGTCCAATTCGAAGTATATATAATATTGCTATAAAAATCAAAGAGGAATCATAGAATCTTTCAATTTATAAAATCAATTCTCTCAATTCTAAATAAAATATGTCACAGACATCTAGCTATAAGATAATATATGGCTTGGCTAAGATATAAAAAACTTAGTTTAATTTAAATTAATGAGGAATGAACAATTTTGTTTATATCAAGTTTTAGTTAACACTGTTATATAAGTGTGTGTGTTTAATTTAATACTGAATGTTATTAATTTCCTTCAGTCGTTGAGGTTGATTCCTGACTCCGGGTAGTACTCACCCAACTAATTTTGGTTAAATATCAAATTCAGTCCTTCTAGCAGGCTGAACCTTGTCTACACGTGACTAAACTTCATGACTAAACCTCATGACTAAACATTGTGACTAAACCTCACAGGGGTTATCATTAATTGGAAAATCCAACGATTGCTTCCATCATTTTCATCATTCGAGCTTGGTTTGATTGCCCGAACTTGGTGATTGCCTCTCCCATCTTTTGCGTCGTCACACTTCAATGCTTGTCCCGTTTTCGCGTTGATTATCATATAGGCTCCGTCACTCATCTTTTGAATTTGCCACTCTACTCTAAACGCAAAAGAATCCATATTGTTATTACACAACAAAGTACCAAACTCCCCAAACCTTATTGTGAATACATATATATTATATCTATTCAATCGTGGTCCGCATACTCGTATTAACTCCTTGCCTCCATCCTCGTAGTCATGTCGCTCGTTTACCAAAGCCAGTTTATATTTTCCTTTACCTAAATCGTTTGTAGGACATAATGGTCCGTGATATTTTTTGTTGAATATCTTGAAAATGTAAGTATCCTCTTTCATAGAGCTATTAATTTCTATTTGGACAACAGGTCGATTAGTAGAGGATGATGGTTGCGAGTCACCTGAATTGTAAATGATTATGTTACAAAGATAGTCGGTTATTCAGTGTGCTACCCAAAATACATAGTTGTTGTGTAGTTAAACGGTGCCGTGGATGTTGAGCTGGCAATAGAAACTCATCCTCTTTATCATATCCGAAAAAATATCTTATTTTCTGTCTCAAATTTTGTAAGTTTGTCATACCCGAGAAAAATTGGAAGGGTTCACTACACAGAGCCTTAACAAGGAAAAGGAGGAAGATGAGATTGAAGAAGAAGAGGATTACATAGAAATCCATGTAACCAGTGTTCAGTGTTCACTTAGCGTATTAACACGTCTTGTCTCACACAAGTCATTGTTTACTGATTCTCTTGATGCCATATTGTACTTTAATTGTCAAATACAATTTTGACGCTTTAAAAAGGTGCATGGGTGTTTCTAACCTATGTAAAGGAAGGGACCAGCCATCTCTACAACAAAGGAAAGGCTCTAACAGCCTCTACTAACCTTGGAACCGCAGCAAAACCGCTCTTCCCACAGTAGGGAAATGTTCAGGAGCAGGATACTGTGTGATTTGAGATATAAACATATAACCGAGCCGCGAGGACCAGAGACAAGTTCCTACTTTTACCCCCATTCAACTGTGTATCAACTATTTGACGATTCCGTTACACAGATTTAGAAGTAACACCCAGAGAAACACTGTGCACTCTTACTAGATGCATATAGTAGGCCACAACCGCTCATTGTAGTCCATGTCTCTGCATCTTTAACCGGGCGGGGTTGCACCAGGGGCGGTGGTAACAAGGAGTCTGTTGTTAATATTTATGATAAATATGACGCTGACCAATCAGATGAAAGAAGATATAATAGAGACTCCATATTTCTGTTACCATTCTTACATTTTGTATCTTTTTGTGTTGCTTTTAGGAAGTAAAAATAAAAATATTTCAGTGCAGATTACTCATTTAACATGTACAAAGAGTCCGTTTCTATTGTCCTCAAAAACGGCTGATGTAAACTGTAACCTATTTTGGTTCTCACAAGTAAAAGAATAATAAATAATTCTTTTAACTTTTAGCCTAAATCAAAGTCGATGAAGTTAAACATCACAATATTAATTAGAATGGAACATACCAAAAGGCAGTGGTTGTGGCTGTTGTCCAAATATCTGCCACCATGTAGCATCTTCAATATTTTCCGTTACGTCGACCCAAAACGTTGCCATATCCCGCTGCCTTCTGGACACGAGGTATTTATCTTTTTGTCTATCTTGAGTTTTTCGTATTCTGCAGCCAAAAGATTTGTTTTTCTTGTTAACATACTCGATCATCCAGCACTCGTTTGCTTTGCTATGTGGGGTGTCATGAACTAGTGCTCTACCGTCGTCTCCATGATTATCATTGAGTACCACTAACATCCGACCAGTGTTGGGATCTGATAACGATAATTGAGTTTTTGTCACTGTTTTAAGGGTTTTAAAAACGGTCTGGATAGATTAGCTAGGTTACGTACTTAGGTTGTGACTTATTAATGCAGCCGCCCAAAACAATGCCATACGACATATGTATATGGAGTCGTTGAGTGACGTATCGTTATTTACAGCAGAATTAAAGCGAAACCTAACCTGGAATTTTTGTTGCTGATTGTTGCTGGTTTGTTGTTGCTTTAATGTTGTAACATTTCTGAGAATTAACTTCAGTTAATATAATTTTCCACTTGTCCTGCCCCCATGGAGGAGTTGTTGGTTGAGTGTGGACCCAGTAAGATTGTTCGTTCTTTGGATCAGAGTTGTGAGTCAGAGCGCAGCCAGCTGCAGGGCCATCTATTGCCTGTATCAAACACCCATGTTGTTCATTTGGTGATGTTGAACTCTGTGCTAGATCAAGATTAATAGTTATGAATGGTAGTGAGAAGAGATGTTGGGCCTGATAAATTAAAAATACTTCTATTTTTGACGGCCCCAATGTTAATCTGTTAATGTAGGTCCTGATATGTGTTGGTTCAGCCGAATTGCGAGGGATGTTGTATAAGGTTGGACTATAAATTGATTTTAAAAGCAAATTACCTGCACTTAAACTGAGTCCCCCGAAGCTAGGAGTGGGAAGGTCGGGTAAAGCATCGTATTGGGGTGGAGCAGAGGGCGGTGCAGCATGATCGTTTGGCACTGATAATATGGGGTTACATACAAGACAGTTAAGAATTGATATACTATGTAATAGACATATTGATATAGTTGGGGTGGACTGAGTTTGCAAAAAGTCTTTACTCTTTAATCTTCCCAAAATACTGCTCGACCACATTTTTATGGAAAACATCTTACACTCAAATGTTTCATTTCCCCCCCCCCCCCCCCCCCCCCCCTCCAATATTTAACTTACTTCCTCTGTCCCTGTCCATCTCTTTCTGTAATGTTTCCAACTTTATCTCTAACCGTACATTCTCCGCGACTGCTACATCTTTATCTGCCACTGCTATATCCTTTTCTGCTCGGTTTTTTCTCTCTACGTTTCTTAGGTAGAATACGTATTCTGGGATTAATTATTCAGTCAAATCATTTTTAACATGTTGTATAGATTGCCTTCGGGATTTTTAACCGAGTATTAGATATCTTATATTGAAAGACAGATACAGGTATCAACTGCTCTGTCTGCAATGAATTCTGGCCAATACTCAAAACCAAATTAGAAGCAAACAACACCTTATTTTGATACCTGTAACGATTTGAGGGGTCAATGATCCAATACCAGCTCTGAGGTCCTCGTCCGATACTGGTATCACCTCCTCCAGCGTGGAGAAGATGGATAGACTTGACATATGTGATGTTTACACCCTAATGGCTAATGCTAGCTGTGGTATTGAGTTTAGTTTGATGGTAGTAAAAATTGGAATTGTTGCTTTATAAGCTTCTATATTAAACGAAAAAGAATGATTAAATATAAATTTGATTTGTTGGTTCAGGAATCAGTATGGAGGTATGTAAGGTGTGTTATAGGTCGAATATTCTACAAAATCCACACAACGTTCAGTTTTTAGTTTTAAACTATTTTCACAAATACAAATAAATCCATTTATTGAGGACGTTATTGAAGGAATTAATTTAAACTAAATGGACTCCGAGGAGTTATAATTCTCGTCCCGTCCTAAGATGGTGTTCCTCTTGTATCATATTTAAGTGTTGATTAGATATTATTATCAACAGGATCAATGATCATACATTACAAATAGAATCTACCTTGGTAAAAACATCTTTTTTTTATTGAAATCTTTCAAATCAATCAATTACATACAAATTTACACAATGAACAACATTAAATCTTCTCAAAAGTATAAGACTCCGATAAAATCAGATTTTCTAGGACAAAATGTATGTAATCAAAGGACCTGAAGGTCACCAAAACACAGATGTTGAGGGCAAAATGCACCTCCTGCACAAGTATGGGCCAACGAAAATCTTGAATTTTAAATAGAATTTCAAATAGAATCACACAAAAATATCAAAAGCAATCAAATCATATAATAAAGTGAAATTCATGATGTGATGATATGCACTAAAATGAGAAATGAGAAATACAGACAACACATTGTAAATTTTGCAAACCTACAAAGAATTTCCCCAACCAGTACAATAAGATATTTGCTGATAAAAATCCAAATATTCAGCCTTCAATTTTGTTTTTGGATATCCAGACTAACATTTAATCAGAAAGACGGTTAAGTACTAGCCACTAGAGTTAATATTATTTTAGCGTTTCATTATCACGTGTTTTTCGCCTTCATGGTCGTAATAAGTTCTAAGTTTATCAATCTTCCACAAAGTCGCATCTGCAACATCTTTCGTTACGTCGACCCAAAACGTTGCCTCATCCCGCTGCCTTCTCGATACGAGGTATTTATCTTTATGTCTATCTTGAGTTTTTCGTATTCTGCACCCCAAACTTTTGTTTTCATTGTCGATATACTCGATCATCCAGCACTCGTTTGCTTTGCTATGTGGAGTTTCGTGAACTAGTGCTCTACCGTCGTCTCCATGTTTATCATTTAGTACCACTAACATCCGACCAGTGTTGGGATCTGATAAAGATCGTGACTAAACCTCGTGACTAAACCTCGTGACTAAACCTCGTGACTAAACCTCGTGACTTCACCTCCTGACTAAATCTCCTGACTAAACCTCGTGACTTAACTGCCTGATTAAACCTCGTGACTAAACCTCGTGACTAAACTTCGTGACTTAACCTCCTGACTAAATCTCCTGACTAAACCTCGTGACTAAACCTCGTGACTAAACCTCGTGACTAAACCTCGTGACTTCACCTCCTGACTAAATCTCCTGACTAAACCTCGTGACTTAACTGCCTGATTAAACCTCGTGACTAAACCTCGTGACTAAACTTCGTGACTTAACCTCCTGACTAAATCTCCTGACTAAACCTCGTGACTTAACCTCGTGACTTAACCTCGTGACTAAACCTCCTGACTAAACCTCGTGACTTAACCTCCTGACTAAATCTCCTGACTAAACCTCGTGACTTAACCGCCTGACTAAACCTCGTGACTAAACCTCGTGACTAAACCTCGTGACTAAACCTCGTGACTTAACCTCGTGACTTAACCGCCTGACTAAACCTCCTGGCTAAACCTCCTGACTAAACCGGGTTAATCGGGTTTTTCATTAATTGTAAAATCCAACGATTGCTTCCATCTTTTTTATCATTCGGTCTTGGTTTGATTGCCCGAACTTGGTGATTGCCTCTGTCATCTTTAGCGTCGTCACACTTTAATGCTTGTCCCGTTTTCCAATTGTATATCATATAGGCTCCGTCGCTCATCTTTTTAATTACCCAATCTACTTTTTTCTTTTCAGCAAAAGAAGCAATATTTTTATCACAAAACAAAGTACCAAACTCGCTCATTATATTGAATATTGGTTGAGGTTCATTCACTCGTGGTCCCCATAATGACATTATCTCCTTGCCTCCATCTTCATAGTCATACCGTTCGTTTACCAAAGCCAGTTTATATTTTCCTTTAGCTAAATCGTTTGCAGAAAATAGCGGTCCATGATATTTTTGGTTGAATATCTTGTAAATGTAAACATCCCATTTCATAATTATGCTGCTAATTTCTATTTGGACAACAGGTCGATTAGTAGAGGATGATGGTTGCGAGTCACCTGAATTGTAAATAATTATGTTACAAGTTACAACAATAGTCGTATTTATTTACCTTATCGGACCTTATTTGGACGGACATTACATGAACGGACATAATTATGAACGGACATTAATATGAACGCTCGAAGGCATTCAAAACCATCAAAAATCCGAATTTTTTTCAATTTTTTGACGTTTTTTAAATTTCAGCAAATGATTTTTAAATCCATTTTTTCTACAGTAAGTAAGAAAAGCAGTCATTGAGCAGTAAAAATGTTAAAATATGTGTACATGATCAGTGTCTAATATCACATATCATCTTCATCAAATGGGTTTTCGTGCATGAAACAGTCCATGCTTAAAGCATCAGTGATTTCTAGCTATATGGAAACCTTTTTTATCAAACTACCCCGGTCCTGCATTTCAGTGTTAACTTTTACAAACCATTCGGCGTGAAGTGGTTTTATCTTAGACAACTTAAGGTTAACCTTAACATCACGTGGAGCTTTCCTAGCACTGTTCCATTACCTCCCCTGAGTAATATGAACTATAATATAACAACGTCGGACAATGTCCTTGGAAACACGATTTTACCGTAATATCTAGAGGCTGGAACAAGTTTGTCATGTTGGCGGGGACTAGTTCATGAACTATATTGTTGAGTGCCATAATTTCGTTGACTTTTTTCCGCCAAGTAACCCTTGAAAACATCATATACTAGTAGAATTTTCTGTGCCTCCGGCAGACCAAGGAGAACCTTTCCATCGTTAACTTACGGCACAATAAAGTTCTCAAAGTTGTCATATTCTGGACAAAAAGTTCGAAATGGAAAAATTTTTGAAAAAATTTCAACGGACTTTAACTTGGACGGACATTAATTGAACGGACTTTATTTGAACTTAAGATGAACGCTAGGGCCTCCAGCGTTCAAGTAATGTCCGTCCAAATAAGGTCCGATAACTATAAGGTAGCTTGCATATTTATATAGTCCTTACGTTGCGAAAATAGCGGACGTAGAAGAGATGTTGGGCCTGATATATTAAAAATACTTCTATTTTTGACGGCCCCAATGTTAAACTTAATGTAGGTCCTGCTATGTGTTTGTATAAAGTTGGACTATGAATTGATTTTAGAAGCAAATTACCTGCACTTAAACTGAGTCCCGAGCAGCTAGGAGTGGAATGGTCGGGTAAAGCATCGTATTGGGGTGGAGCAGAGGGCGGTGCAGGTGCATCATAGTTTAGCTCTGATAATATGGGGTTATAAGACAGGTAACAATCAATATACCATGTAAAAGACATATTGATATAGTAGGGGGAGTTGGGGTGGACTGAGCTATCAAAAAGTCTTCACTCTTTTATCTTCCCAAAATACTGCACTGCCATATTTTTCATATTAATATCCTACACTCGAATGTTTCAAGCCCCCCCCCCCCCCCCCCTCCCCCTCCCCCCCCCCCTCTAATCATAATCATATACTTACTTCCCCTGGTCCTGTTCCTGTCTAGTTCGTTCTGTAATGTTTCGAACTCTCTTTTTAGCCGTACATTCTCCACTACTGCTACATCCTTATCCGATCGGATTTCTCTCTCTACATTTCTCAGGTAGAACACGTATTCTGGGATTAATTATTCAGTCAATTCATTTTTAATATGTAGTATAGATTGACTTCGGGAATCGGGATTTTTAACCGAGTATTAGATATCGCATATTCAGTAATCAACTGCTTAGTCTGCAACGAATTCTGGTTAATACTCAAAAACAAATAAGAAGAAAACAACACCTTATTTTGATACCTGTAACAATTTGAGGGGCCAATGATCCGATACCAGCTCTGAGGTCCTCGTCCGATACTGGTATCACCTCCTCCAGCGTGGATAAGATGGAGAGACTTGTCATATGCGATGTCTACACTATAATCCTAACTGTGGTTTTTAGTTCAGTTTGATAGAGAATATGAGGTTCCTTAAAAGGTGTTCAGTAATCAGTATACAGGGTCCTTAACAAGAAAGAAGAGGATTACGTAGATTTCCCTGCATTATGATGTCGTTGGTTTTGGCTGCTTCTTACAATAATCAAATCAAATTTTCATAGGTACTTATCTATTATTTTTAATTATGTATTCATAATTATTTATACCGAAGACATTTAGCTGTTAGTGAAAATATTCGCATAAGATATAAAAACTACATTTTATTATGATATATAAATAATAATTAGCATTTATGTTCTTAATTTAATATATCCTGCGTTAAAATTATCATGATATTATATATTAAAGTCACTATTGTGACGGTACATTAGAACTAGACAGAAACAAAGTGTGAAGGGCTGAACGGAACCCCTCGGTTTCAGTTCCTTGTTTAACACTGCCGTACAGCAAGGACATCCATATAGCTCACTCCACACGACCACACTATGCTTTGTCAAATGTTGCTTATATACCAAGGATCTACAGGAAATATTTCCTTGTAAGTTTAGAGGGCGATCTGTGAACAGACAACTACCTCATTCCTACCTATAGGAAATAGAATTCCTATACTATCCCAACGAGCTACACCAAGCATAGTTTCAGATGAGAACAGTGACTTGTCTGTGTATTTTTGATATTGGATGTTGTTAAATCCTTCGAGTCGTTTAGTCCTGCCTCCGGGTAGCTCTCCCAAACCAATTAAATAAAACTAATCTAAAACTGCAAGATAGTTCATCAGGTTTTAAACAAGATTTAAATCAAATTCAGTCCTATTCGCCGGTTAAGATTGGTCAACAACTGATTGGGTTATGAGTCGGATTTTATGATTCTTTGGAGTTCCCAAAGCCCGCTATCATCATCTAAATAGTTGGATCCGACCAGAATTTTGTGATTGCCTCTCCCGTCCTTAGCGTCGTCACAGTATAATTGTTGACCCGTCTTTTGGTTGATTATCATATAGTATCCGTCGCTGTGCTCTTTAATTTCCCACCGTTCCTTAGACTTACCAGTTGAATTTGGTCTAAATAAAGCCATATAATTTTCACCTTTATCCAGTTTATAACAAAACAGCACTTTGGTGCCCTGCTCAATCAAATGAGCTCCGTCATCTCGTCCTGGCCCCCTAATGAACGCTATCTCTGTGCCATCTTCGTAGTCATGATCTTCATTTACCAAAGCCAACTTATGTTTATTTACCAAAGCCATCTTATGTATATTATCAACTAAATCACTTCCAGGAAATAACGGTCCGCCCCATTTTTTGTTGAATATCTTCGAAGTTCCCCAATGTCCATTAATTTCGTGTCCGCTAAATTCTGCTGGTGCAAAAAGTTGAGTATTCAAGGGTGATGGCTGCATAGTAAGGGGAAAAGTGGTCGATTTAAGGGTTCCGTTGGATTTGAATGTTCACAAGGATTTCTCAACGGAATATGGTAGTTAGGACCCCTACGAACATAATTAGACTTGTTGCCAATTTTGTATCTCAACAGAAACACCACTTTTACCACTTTTTACCACCTTTGTACCACTTTTCTGGTTTGCCAAATATCTTTAGTTGTGAACGTCGTAGAAGGCTGAAAATTAACCTAGAATGTTTATCTTATCAAGGAGTAAAACTTTTGTATCAAAAGTTTTTACATCGGACAATCAGCTAATTGGATAATTACCAATTAGTTAATCACCAAAAAAAGTGAAAATTTTTTATTGGCTTAAAATGATTGAAATCGTTTGAAACACGGAGAAATGTAGTTTTTAGAAAAACTTCAAACATTTTTCACTTAAAATTTTTTTTTCGAGACTTGAAAAAAAGTTTGAAAATTTGAAAATATTTTTTCCGCCAAAAGTGATCGAATTGCATGAAACGTGGATAAAAATGCCTTGCAGAAAAATTTCGAAGATTTTTAGATTGAGGAATACTAAAATCATCAATATTTGAAGTTGGAGTTCAGTAAATCTCGACATATTTTAGTAATTAGGAATAGCTTAGCGGAAAGGGCTGGACCTGAAAAAGGTTAACCACACAATATTAGAGTTTCGTAACTAATTACAATACAGCTTTATCAAATTCCACATAAAGAAACAGCACAAAAGGACCATTTAAGATCGAACCGATTTTACCTGCTGTACTATCATTTTATTGATTTCAATGATCAAAACCTCTGTCAATCTTGCCAATCTATACCGGGTATCTGAATGTACCGGACCTCTTATTTACCTCTATAATTAGACCCAGTTGTGCAAGAAATGCGATTTCTCACAGGGGTTTCTTTAAACTGTGCACTTTTTATCACTCTCGCAACTCGCAAGAGGCCTGGTATTATAGGGGGGGTATAGGAAGCGAGTGTAAATATACCTTCCATCATCCATTGTGGCTTTTTTGTATTGTGAATGCGCATGCCGCTTCGTTTGCTATGCCATATACCTCGAATAACCCCCATATGTCATTGCCAGGGTCGGGATAGAGCTGGAGATAGCATTGAAAAGTTGCTAGAAACAGCTAGATTTAGAGTAAACTGGTGGTAGCTGGGTGGTGCTAGCATGGATGTAGCAGAACGTAGCTACACGGGGTTTCATTGGAGTTGGTTATTTTAATGGCCAAAGAGTGCCGGAACTAAAGTTACTTAAGATTGCAGTTTAGGGGCAGTGTAAACCACGGTGTAGTCAGGGACACAGAGCTACAGTGCAGGAGTACTGCAATAGAACAGTGCAAGTGATACAGTCTGCAACAGTAAAACGCCGACGAAGCTAGACTTAGAGTGAACTGATGGAAGCTGGGTGGTGCTAAAATGGAGGTAGCAGAACGTTCTACATGATGAAAACAGGAAAACTAAGGCTGGTTGAGACCTAAAAAGATGTGAATCTGTCCTGATAGATCCAGTGAAGAGCGAGTAGCGAAGAGTTTGATCACTAACCTAAAACTCTAAAGAAGAAGAGGGCTAAAGAGACTCACTTTGATCAATAAATCCGGTACGGCAAGGTCTGTAGCCTTGATAAGAAGATACCATGAAGTAATTCATGCAGGAAAGTCGATTTATATAAAGGGTTTCGTTGGATCTAAAAAGGGTGGGTCAGTCTCTCTGTTTTCATAAGATTCTGATGAAATGCTGTTAAGCTCAGGACGGTGATCTTAATAGGTCGGATAGCTGTACCTGGTTGCTTCCAGCCCACCCTTGTCGCTTGAAAATAAGTTCTCACCCCACCTCTTCCAAAAATACAGTTACCAGAGCAGGAAACTCTTCTTCCTCCTCTTCTTTCAACACAAACACAATCAGGTTCCAGCTACTCTCCTCCTCTGCAGCCACAATCTTATCTCCTTCTTCGGAGTTTTACTGTTGCAGACTGTATCACTTGCACTGTTCTTTTGCAGTACTCCTGCTCTGTAGCTCTGTGTCCCTGACTACACCGTGGTTTACACTACCCCTAAACTGCAATCTTAAGTAACTTTAGTTCCGGCACTCTTTGGCCATTAAAATAACCAACTCCAATGAAACCCCGTGTAGCTACGTTCTGCTACATCCATGCTAGCACCACCCAGCTACCACCAGTTTACTCTAAATCTAGCTGTTTCTAGCAACTTTTCAATGCTATCTCCAGCTCTATCCCGACCCTGGCAATGACATATGGGGGTTATTCGAGGTATATGGCATAGCAAACGAAGCGGCATGCGCATTCACAATACAAAAAAGCCACAATGGATGATGGAAGGTATATTTACACTCGCTTCCTATACCCCCCCTATAATACCAGGCCTCTTGCGAGTTGCGAGAGTGACAAAAAGTGCACAGTTTAAAGAAACCCCTGTGAGAAATCGCATTTCTTGCACAACTGGGTCTAATTATAGAGGTAAATAAGAGGTCCGGTACATTCAGATACCTGGTATAGATTGGCAAGATTGACAGAGGTTTTGATCATTGAAATCAATAAAATGATAGTACAGCAGGTAAAATCGGTTCGATCTTAAATGGTCCTTTTGTGCTGTTTCTTTATGTGGAATTTGATAAAGCTGTATTGTAATAAGTTACGAAACTCTAATATTGTGTGGTTAACCTTTTTCAGGTCCAGCCCTTTCCGCTAAGCTATTCCTAATTACTAAAATATGTCGAGATTTACTGAACTCCAACTTCAAATATTGATGATTTTAGTATTCCTCAATCTAAAAATCTTCGAAATTTTTCTGCAAGGCATTTTTATCCACGTTTCATGCAATTCGATCACTTTTGGCGGAAAAAAATATTTTCAAATTTTCAAACTTTTTTTCAAGTCTCGAAAAAAAAATTTTAAGTGAAAAATTTTTGAAGTTTTTCTAAAAACTACATTTTTCCGTGTTTCAAACGATTTCAATCATTTTAAGCCAATAAAAAATTTTCACTTTTTTTGGTGATTAACTAATTGGTAATTGTTTGTTTGTTTATAGAACCCGTCCCCAATCTCGTATCGGAAAATGACTAAACTCAGGTCTGAGTGTGAATACGGGTGGTACCTGCAAAAGTGTTCATTAAGCTAACTAATTGGTAATTATCCAATTAGCTGATTGTCCGATGTAAAAACTTTTGATACAAAAGTTTTACTCCTTGATAAGATAAACATTCTATGTTAATTTGCAGCCTTCTATGATGTTCACAACTAAAGATATTTGGCAAACCAGAAAGGTGGTACAAAGGTGGTAAAAAGTGGTAAAAGTGGTGTTTCCGTTGAGATACAAAATTGGCAACAAGTCTAATTATGTTCGTAGGGGTCCTAACTACCATATTCCGTTGAGAAATCCTTGTGAACATTCGAATCCAACGGAATGCCACTTTTCCCCTTACTACAAGTCACCTGAAATGTAAATATTGTTTAAATCCTATAATGAAGATAGTTTAACGTGGATTTATGTGTGTGCTACAATTCATAACTGCGAAAATAGCTGCATTTAGTTTTAACGTTA